GGGGAAGCCGGGCAGCAGAGGCGGATCTTTTACTCACCTCTGCTGGCGGCTGCCACTTTTTTCTTTTTTGAAAGTGGGCAAAAGCCGCCCTGCCGCTATGTCCAAAAGCCCTGCCACTATGTCCAACATAAAAAAAGTGCCAGCCTGCCATCAGAGGCGGGTAAAACACACACACACAAATTACTTACAATAATACAATTACTTACAAATTACATTCTGTGGCTGCTCTGGCCCTTTGGAACGAGCTCCCGGTGGAGATTCGGACCCTCGCCACCCTTCAGGCCTTCCGGACAGCCATTAAGGCTGGCTGTCCCAGCAAGCCTGGGGTTGAGTCCCCCCCCCACTCAAATTTGCTCTGCTTGCTGTGCTTTTTTAAACTGTTGTATCACTGTCCTGTTTGTCTTACTTTCTGTATTTGTTTTTCCCCTTCCCCTGGTTTTTGTTCAGCCGCCCTGAGTCCCTTACAAATCAAATAAATACCAATACCAATACCAATATTCATTGGTGCTTTCAAAAGGTTTGGTCATCTAATAAGAGCAGTAAACAGAGCTTTCAATATGTCATAGGTGCCAAATTAGTGGTCATCCAGCTCTTTGCCTGAAGATTGTAATCTTAACCTCCATCACAGTACAAAAACTTTTGGACCTTAAATTCAAATCACGCAAACTAAATGGAAAAAAGTAGGACACAATTTGGAAAGGCAAACAGAAGGTGCGATAGTTGTGCTCAAAACTCAATTATGTTGGCTATCCAATTCTTACAAAGGTGTCCTGTATTTTTCCTTACTTTATGCTGTGCTCAAAAATCCATTTTCTACCACAAAGAAGACTGACTTAATGTGCAAATCTTATACACTTTCTGTTCTATAAAGGTGCCTCAATCCCACTTCCAGGTCATCACTTTACTTTTCTTGATCCACTTTGTTGCTTTATTTGCTAAGAAAAACCTCTCTGCCTTGTACTCCCAGAAAGAAGACTTTATTCCTGAGGAAAGTGCCTGCTGAGTTTAAATCCTGGCTTCTCTCCAATTTCTTTCAGCTCTGTAACTTCCCCAGAACAACATGGAGTTGAAATTGAAATCCTGAGTCAAGGTCACTTGCTAATACCTAGGAACCTAAGAGGCTTTAAAATATACACGTAGAGAAAGCCAATAGAGTTGTTACAGCGTACAACAACTGATTTCCCCTTCTTTTCCTCTTAAAAGCATTAAGGCTTAAACAAATGCACCCAGTGCCAAATTTGCAGGTAAAAGTTTGGAAATGTCAGTAGCTTTATATGCACAAAAATGTGAATTTTAATTTGAAGAGTTAATGAAGCAGCAGGTTCTCAGAGGGCAGATTAAACTAAGTATTGGGGGGGAAATGAACCTGTTACTCTTTCATAAATTTGCCATAGTTTCTGAGGAAGGCTGTCTTCTTGCCTGGGAAATACTGAGTGGTACTCTACAAAACATCTCACTCAACCTCTGAAGATGCCAGAAATATCAGACGATAGAAATCTAGACCTTGGCCATTCTTCCTGAAAGCTTATCACTACTTAACCATCCCAAAGATATAAAAAAAATTATGGCCATGTAATATTTTATACACATGTGCATCAAAATTATAATTAAAATACTGACATATCTTGTTAAATTCCAACACTGGACTGGGCTCATTATCTCTGGAATTTTTCACTGATTACTTAGAAAAGACTGGTATGTGTAATCAATCACTGAAGAGTGATTGTTCCTGTTCAGTATTCAACCAATCAGCTAGGTTTGTTTTCTGATTACTCCATTGCATTTCCCTTCCCCTGCTTCTCATTTTTCTCCTCCTAAGAACACCTGAAGAATTGGATTAGGGATTCAGTGTATGTAAGCACATGTGTGGGATCTATTTGGAATACCTCCTACTTTTCTCTTTATAATAGCATAGACATTAGTTATAAAAGGGAGGTTCATTATTTGCATATAGGAGTCTAGTACAAATCTAGGTTCACCCTATTCCAATGATATATACATAACAATATAATCACTTATTATTTCCTGCAACACCATTTTGTGTAAGGACAATTTTCTCCAACTCTCGACTTTCCAATACTTGACCTCAACTGCAAATAAGCAACTTACTTTCAGAAGTGAAGCATGCAGCAGAAGGGTATATGCAGCTTCTGTGTAGTTCTCAGAATCTAAGTGAAGATCCCGAAGTTTATACAGATACCTGTTAGTAGATGCAGCAGAGAGAGGGGGGAAGGAGGGGGAGGGAGGGAGATTTAATGTCAACATTATTTTAAATTCATAAAATATGAATCTATCTCTACTACTATATTCTTCTAGAATGATGTGAACTACTATCAACATTTAAATATGACTTCGCAATGAGGCATTTAAGTATCATTCACATGAATAGGTCTTAACGATGTTCTGCATTTGGCGATTCAGTCATTATACTTCCAATTTCTATGATTTTGAAGGTAAGTTCGAAAACTTGATTTAGCTTGATTATATCAAGCTAAAATTGTTGTCCTGCCTCATAAAAGAGGATTTACATTCTGGGGGGGTCTTCAAATCATAGCACTTTATATGATGTCTAATGAGAAAAAGAATTTTGCATATATAAAGGCTGAAGTTTTATTGTTCCCAGCTAAAAAGTAAGCTACACACACACACACGTGTGTGTGTGTCTATCACTGTCCCTATTCTGATATCTGCTCAATTAAAAGATACGATAATATGAAAATTACATGATACAATATATATTCTTTAATATACATACACATATAGTTTAAATAGTATAGTATATGTATAATGTGCATTTACATATAATTTATATACTCTAGTAAATAATGTAATACAGTATTATATATTACGTAAAAGAAAATGTGAATGTGTATGTAACTGAGACAGATGGCATACATACAAAAACATGTTTTTTAAGAGGCTAATATCTTAGAGTTTTAAAGAAAGATGAATTTAGAATACAGTTTTTATCATAAGATTTTGCATTATTTTATTATTAAAAAAGAAAGAAAATAAAAACTAAAACTATACTTCATTTGGTTCAGCAAGACATTCTGAAGATGTCTCACTCTACTATCCACCTTAACATATCTGCCTCTTCTAATGTACTTGTTCAAAAGATGTTGAATATAAATTGAAAATTGGAAAGTCAAACTTGTAATTGTTACATAAATCAAAGATGCTGATCTCAGCCTGTGATTTTATACGAATCACTTAAAGGTTTTTTGCTGCAAAAGCTTTTATCTCTCATTCCCTATCTCTATATCTGAATAGCTTTATATTGACCAGAAAAACAACTCTTGTCATAGAATCTCATTCAACTGAACAAGTTAAAAAATATAGTTTCTACAAAGAGAAATTTGATTTCTAATCTGATTCCAAAACAAAGACTAGAATTGTTGCAAAATTTGTGATAGCTTGTATTCAATTCATCATAGTCAATATGCCCTTTATCTGCCAATTTTAAATTATGATCCTCCTTATTTAAATTGCATAACTTCCCCACCCCCCAAAAAAATTAAAGTATCTGACTACTTTGACAAAATGTGTTGAGCCTTTGTAGAGCAACAAACAATATTTCTGGGATAATAATTTGATTTGAATAACTTATATCTGGGTATTTACTATAAATCCACATATAATCCTGAAGATTATGCAAAGAAAACAACAGTGATCTTTTCAGTGACAAGTGTAATCAACAGTGCAAGTACTACTATACCTTATATACATTTCTTCACGATTAATTTCCTTGTAGAAATTCTGGGAGGAAAAATGAATAAAGTTTTATTACTCTCAAACATAATTGGGATGATTCTTTTTATAATATTATTCAAATATGCATAATTTCTTATTGAGGGAGTAATTTTGTTTTGTTTCATTTTCAGAATCTCAAAGCTTTCAATTCATGTTAACATAAATATGCATTATTTATACATGACTGGCCACTGAAACCAGTGTGGAGAGAATTCATGCTCATCAAAGTCACATGATAGAGTAGCAAATTACCTTACTTGACAGCAGTCTTGAGAATCAAAAAAAAAATACTTTTTTTTGTATGAATGCAAACTATGGAAAAAAGCTGGTTTTCATCACAGCAATTGTTAATAAAATGTTTTTGTTTACGAAGAAAAGAGGAAACTTAATTTTTTTTCTTGATATAACAACAATATATTGAGCAGGCTGTGTTTGAAATGGACGTATTTTTGTATGGGATTTACACTCCCATCTCCACTTAAAATCATATTCAGGGAGTCCTTGACTTTAAAGCACAACTGAATCCTAAATTTCTGTTGTTCAATGAAACATTTGTTAAGTGAGTTTGTCTCATTTTTTGACCTTTTTTTGCTACAGTTGTTAAGTGAATCACTTCCGATGTTAGGTTAGTAAAATGGTTATTATGTGACTTCGGCTTTTCCATTTGATTGTCAGAAGGTCACAAAAGGGAACCAAATGACCCTGGGACATTGCAACTGTCATAAATATGAGTCAGCTGCCAAGCATCTGAATTTTGATCACATGACCATGAGAATACTGCNCAGATGTCTACATAGTTTACAGTAGATCAACCTGTTACAGTCAATTTTAATACAAAAGACATTTTACCCACACGTCTAATATTTTATATGAATATATTGAAATATGACTGTCCCCGATACTTGCATTCTCAATACTGAATAAGGTTCAATGAATTATCTCCTAATTTACATTAACTTTATACAGGTAGTCCTTGACTTACGACCACAATTGAGCCCAAAATTTCTGTTGCTAAGTGAGACATCTGTTAAGTGAATTTTGCCCCATTTTACAACATTTCTTGCCATATTTGTTAAACGAATCACTGCAGTTATTAAGTTAGTGACAGGGTTGTTAAGTGAATCAGGCTTCCCCATTGACTTTGCTTGTCAGAAGGTTGCAAAAGGTGATCACATGACTCTGGGACACTGCAACCGTCATAAATATGAGTCAGCTGCCAAGGATCTGAATTTTGATCACTGACCTTAGGGATGCTGCAATAGTTTTGGTGTGACATACAGTCATAACTTACCTTTGTCAATGCAGTTGTAACTTTTGTCACTAAATGAACTGTTGTAAATCAAGGACTACTTGTACAAGGTTATTAATTTAAAGTCTTTTTTCAAGTTCAGCTCATCTCTGATAATCTCACAGACATATCAATGCGTTTTTTGGCAACAGAAGAAATGATTTAATATTGTTTTCTGGGGTATTTTTGTCAGTTGTCAATCTAGTTCCCAGGTGTGAGATTTGCTAGAGATTAACCATCCAAGTAATGAGCAGATAGAGACTTTCTATGTTCTAAATCAGTTATGATTATTTTTCTGTCATGTAATATCTGAAAAGTTTGTGCTTCTGTTCATTGTAGGCTAATCATTTAAAGTATAACTTGGCTTCATGTCACAAATATATTATAAACATTCTAGAGAACAACCATTCATGAAGCCTGACCAAATCACAAGTCCTTTTGCCATGCTTCCACAATTAAATTGATATACAACAGTGGTACCAAACAGAACTGCTACTGCTAGTGCCTACTTAGGAAATATAAGTATTTTCTAAAAACAGTTATTAAATTATTTTGGTGATTTTGGTCTAATCCGAAACACTGTATGCCTTTCTTCTTACAAATAAAATATACAAGATGAAAACACATTAAGCACATTATGCCATATCATTTTTGTATCGTATGATTCATAGCAACATTTTAATAATGTCACAGACTGCATATAATAACATTCTTCTATGCTGTAATAGAATGAGAATCAAAACCGCTCAGCAATTTACTGAACAGACATCTCTTTCTCAATATTAGGCGTTACTGCTTTGGATGTTGAAATGAGATTATAACCCACGGCACAAAGCTACTCAGCAGAAATTGGGAAGTTAAAATTACCTTTCCTTTGTCAAAATATTCTATTATCATCTCATATAGGTGTTCTTTCAGATGACGGTGTGTTTGTGAACTTTGAAATTCTGTTTGCATGACTTGAGGAGTACAATGTTCATCAGACCACTGTGGAGGAAAAAAAACTCATAATAAATTTGTAAGTAAGTTCTTAGTTTATTTTTTTTAAGGTTACCAAAGATTGGTGCCATAATTGGGTACAAAATGCATGTAACACAAATCAGTGACAATATAAATATGCAAGATAGCTTTTTAGACTTTTTTCTTTCTGGCATTTATTTATCCTTAATTAGATCCAAACATAGCAATTCTATTTTTGCAGTTGTATAAACAGTTGTCTCATTAAGACCCTGCTCTTTAAATACACATACAGGCATTCATTTCTTGACCTCTCTCTCTCTCTCTCTCTCTCGCACACACACACACACACACACACACACACACACTGCATTGATATGAAGCAGCCTGATACACATTTTGTCATATTCTTCCCAAATGCCACAAAATGTAAGAGTTGAATTTATTTGAAACACCTTGACTCCTGAAATACATGGGACTAAAAGTTATATTACAGAGCATTACAGTCTTAACTGGGATGGGCAGATATGGCGGGGACTTTAGGGCAAGCCATTACCGG